AACTTAAACTATTGTTTATCCCGAACAAGAGTGTCTACTAAACACACAAGTATATAAACAAAAATATAATTGCATTGCATGACTTTGCTGAACTTGCAATAAGTGTTGAAATCGTTTGATGATTCATAAAAAGTTCATAAGTAATGCAAATAAAACTAATTATTTACTTATTCGATATTTGATTGATGCATGTGTGTATAGCACTATAGCCAATCAAATTATCACGAGTTTCAAAATTAGTTATTTTTCTACCCTTCATAGTCAAATATTTCTTTACTCTCTCGTGGGATGCACACCCGCTAACTCGTTTTCCAATCACATATCAAGGTGTATATTTTAAGGTTGTTTTCCTTTCCCGCTCAAGTTTGATTGGGTTTCACAAATGAAAGTCACTACCTTAATACATGATGATTCTCCTTAAGTTTGAATATCTCAACCTCCAACCTTCAACTATGATAATAGTCCTTGCCAAAAGTCTAAATTCCAAATTAAATATAGATGGCTTAGTCGGGCAGAAACAATGCTTATAGTTGTTTTGTCACTGCTTCAACACACTTTGGTGCATTTTTTATTATGTCCTTTCTTCTGGTTTTGGGATCTTTTCTTTGATTTTCGATGGTAGTTTTCACTCTACAATGCAGACAGCTTTCATCCTTGATAGATTGTCTCCTAAACATTGGGATGAATAGGGCCAATTACTCAAAACTAGCTTCGCACAATAATACATGTAACTTTTACCTATGTGTCACGATTAGTGCATACCTTTTATTTTTTTATTTTACCCCTAATAAATGGTTACTGCCTAGTCTCTACTTGTTAGCCATAAATATTTCACACAAATATTTAACATGCACGGAATCAACACATATCTAAATAGCTCCCAACATTAGATCAACCACCCCCAAACTCATTATTTCAATAGGTTAAGTTGTTGTACTATACATTATGATCTTGGTTTATAAAGACCTAAGTCCATTCAACGTATTATATCAATGTAACCGATCCAAAAATACATAATAATTATCATGACTATTGTAGTCAATATAATACGATCTAAAATGAACAAATATCGAATTAGCGAAAAAATCGCATTACCTATTTACAATTTATGAAACATAACTAGTTTCAATTAGTCGGCAAGACTTTTCAACTCAAGCAAACACATATAAAGTAAGAAAATATTTTTAAAGTTCTTAAAAATTTTCAATTTTTTTTTTTCAAAAATATCACACAAACAAGCAAATATAACTTACAAAATAATCTACACCTCAAATCTTTAAAATACATATTGTCCTCAATGTATGCACAATATAGGCTTAAAGAAGGGTTGGCAACACTCGCCGTGTATATGATATTTCTTGTTTATTTCTTAATCTTTTACCTTCCTTCAGTATTCTTTCTTTGCTCGTTTTGTAAAATATTTTTAGTATGCCTGAAACAAACATGAAAAATAATTATCAATATATCCACATGCGAATTTATAATAATTTNAAAATAAATTAAGAGAAAAGAAAAAGAAAAAAATTAATATTTTTTTTTTAGAGGAAAAAAATGTTTTTAGGGGTTTGACCGCAAGTTGCAAGCTCACGGTCGGCCACAGCAAACAAGGCCGCACATCGGCCCACGGCCGACCAAGGTCTACACATTTTTTTTTTAAATTAAGAAAAACTGTAAAAATATGCTTATATTTAAAATGCAATCCTAAATTTTATGTGCAATGAACGATAAAAAATAAATAAATAAATAAAACACAAAAATATAAGGTTAGAAAAATTGGTTGTCTCTCGTTAGTTCTTAATTTATAGTCTAAGTGCTTGTTTGGGAGGGATTTTTAGGGGAAGAATTGATTTTGAATAGTGATATGATGGGAAATGTGTGGTTGAAAAAAAAGAAAAAATTATTGATGTGATGGAAAATATTATTTTATTGAAGAATGTGTGGTTGAAAATGAGAATTGATTTACTGTAGAAAAATTTAATTCCTCCCAAACAGGGCCTAAGTAAGTATAAGAATTAATTTATTGTAGAATTTTGAGAATCCCTCCCAAACAGGCCCTGAATGTCAACTTTCCACAAGTGCTTTATGGTACTTTGAATATGGTTTTGGAGACCCTACTTAATTTATTCAATTTGATTTTGTTTCATATTTCACACGTTCTCCAAAATCGTGCTTTGCCCTCTTAAATACATTGTGAATTGCCTAAATTACCCAACTCAAACTCAAATAAGAATACTCCAACCTTCTCATCGTCTTTAATCACAAATTCAATAAAGTTGGAGGTTTGCATGCTAATTCCTTTTTCTTTGAATACTACTAATTTGTCAAGATCCTTTATGATTAATTTCTCAATTTGTACATGTTCTTCTTCTTTAGTTGTTGATTCCTCAAGTTGAATGTTGAAGAGATATCCTCCGTAAGTATGTTTCTTGGCTCATCTAGAATTATTTGATTTTCAATCCTTTAAAATTTTTGCATGATAATGTCTCTCACACTAAAATCACCGCCATATCATCTTCTTCATATGGATTATCAAAAATAGTTTTCCTCAATAACAAGTAATTTTTAGTATAATGCAATGCACTATAGTATTATCATGTCGGTCTGATCTCTTTATAAATAATATATATGATATTTAACTCTTCGGCAAGCCACCCTTATCAAATACGACATGTTGATTGTATCCTCACTTTTAAGTTGTTGTCTACGGAGGAATTCTCCAAAGAGCATATCACCATCAACTATGTCAAGATCAATCATTATATATTTTGTTGTTCTCTTGCTTCTTTTCATTCCATGTCCATGACACAAAGAAAAACAAGTAAATCGGCTAAAAAAGAAAAAGAAAGAAAAATTAAATAAAAGCAAAAAATAATTTAAACCAATATTAAATAATACTAGTCCCTGCAAGTGTATTGATCATAACAAGTAATATAGTGGATTTAAGAGTCCGGGTATCATTCCCACGATGACTAATATTTAACCATTTATTAAATTGTTCATAACTTCAATTCGATTGGAAACAAATAAATGGTGTTTCTTTTATTTTTGTGATTTTTTGTGTGAAAACAATAAAATATGACTTTTTTAATGATGATTTAATTTTTAGGATTCATTAGTTCACCATAACTATCCTCTTAATCTCAATTACCAAATTCTATAACAATTGATTATTTTTATCCGTTCGAATTCTTCTAACATATTCAATTTACATCTCTCGAGTTCAAATTGATTCTATTTAATTAAGTCAATTTCATATATCTATGTGAATTCAAATACACTTAAGTTAAACGCATTAAATCTCTAAGAATCTACGTAACAACCGTATTAACTAGAAAATGTATCTCTACACTTTTATATTAGTTCTCAAGTTTCATTAAGTGGTCTAAAGAAATAATCTACATCTCTACTAATTATCGCTCACAAAATTAATGGATTAGTGGCCAATTAATCAAAGCATTAAGAATAGAAGTAAAAACAATTCACAAAATCAATTTGACATTTAAAACTTTTTAATTAAAAATAAAATTTAAAAAGAGGTTATAATCATTCATCCTAACAACATAAATAATTACAGATCATGGGAGAATAAAAAAAAAAGAATTAATCACCAGGTTTTAAGGAAAAAACGAGAAAGATGAAGATTTTGCACCAAGAATCTGTCTCTTCTTGTAAAATTCTTGAAACCCTAGTTTCTTGATTAATTTTTTGATTTTTCTCTCCTTTTAATTTAAATAATATATGTACAATGGATCTCTTAAACCTTGGTTGGAATGTATGTGTATGATGAAATTCTACAAGCCTCCTTTAATTGTTGGACTAATGTACGTATTTACATCACAAGATTTATGCAAAACTTTGTTCAACTTGATTTTCATCAAAGAGTTCATATTGGTTTCTATCAAAGAGTATAAGAAATAAAATGAAACAAATTCATTTTTCTATTGGCTTTAGTAATTCATCTTCCAATCTTTGCAATGAAGTCCTCTTCATTCTAAAATCATTTTAGTTGATCCGATGCAAGTTTTGAAGTTTGAAATTTAGCCCACAAACTTTCAAATGTCGAATTTAACTTTCGAAATTTATGAAATTTATCGAATGCTCCATTAATACTTTCAATCGATCTTTTACAATTCGATTAATTTTCAATTGCTCCAAATCAACTTCAAGTAAGCTTCAAATCTTCTTTTCACATAAGTTGTATTCAACTTGGAATTTTCCTACAATTAACATAATTTATACAAATTAAGTAAATAATCACTCAATATATTTATAATTAAATAAGAACAGATGCCCGAATAAACACATAAAATACACTTATCATTTTGTCTCTTCATTTATTTTTATTGCTTTTGTGTTTTATAAAATTTACAAATGTAAGTTAACCTTCTATCAAGGGAGAAAATACATTGTTTTTATTCTTTAAAAATGCATGTCAATCAAGTGAAAGTAGATGGATTAATCCAAAATCAGCCTTCAATTCTTATCGTACAACATTTCATAAACGAGAAAATAGATCGATATTATTGTAAATTCTCAACGAAAACACTTAAATAAATGCATATAATTTCTTTTTTTTTTTTAATCCATTAAAATTTTGTTCAATTGAATTTTTTTAAGTTTCACTCAGTCACCCAAACAAAAATTCTGAATCCACTCTTTTTCAAAGTCATTTCACCCTTTTTAAGGCGTAGTCAAACATGCTCTTCAATGCATTGATTGATTGGCCCAACCCCCAACATGCAGATAAACCTCAATGACTATCACATCTCTCAAACCAATTCTGGTGAAATTTACCCGAATTATCTTTTATTAAACAGAAGAATTCCATTAAAAGATAACCCGAATTTCACTATCACACCAGATATTCGTTCATACTGTTAGGATTCTACAATTTGTTCTCTCCATAAATAAGAACCTCGATTAACCCTTTTTTTCTGTATCAATCAATCAACGAATTCTGAGTTACTGTTAAAACTCTATATCCATTTTAGAGAAGAGAGATGGATCTTGATTTGTCACCCAAGTTGGCCAAGAAGGTGTACAGCGGAGACGGCGGCGCGTACTATGCATGGTGCCCAAATGAACTGCCGATGCTACGTGAAGGCAATATAGGCGCTGCAAAACTTGATCTCGAGAAAAATGGCTTGGCTATGCCTCGTTACTCTGATTCCGCCAAGGTTGCTTATGTCCTTCAAGGTAGTGTTGATTAATTGGCTCGATTTTATTTGGTTCTGTTGATTTAATTTTTGCTAAAACTCGTATTAAATTCTGTTTCTGGTTCAATTATTATAGACAATATTATATTGATTTTGTTTATTGAAATATACTCATTCTAAGTTCTTATATAGATTCTGCTAATGAAATCCATTCTAAGTTCATTGATTATACAATCCTTCTGAAATCGGAATTCTTCATTGCGGTTCATTTATTCTTTCGAGTTTTTCTGTTCTTATTATTGTAGCCTTTCTCTGTTTATTCTTTGATTAAGCATTGATGAGTACAACATTCAAGAAATTCGAAACAATTGCAATAAGCTGCATATATTGACTATATAGAACCCAGATGCATACATGTGTCCTGGGACATTGGAGAACTGCTGGTTTCTGCAGGGGAAAAATTGAGATGGAAAATTTTAACCTAGAAAGATGCCAAAACACATTTTCTTTTTTGTCCTGTGAATTTAGGATCTTCATTGTGTTGAAAGTCTGGAATTGCTAGTTTGTTTATTGCCCCAGAAAACAAAGATAAGAGAATATATCTGCTGTTAGAGTCTTGCACAAAATGGTTTAAATTTTAGGTCAGCTGCTATTGGTTCATAATCTTGTTCTATGTGATCTATTTTTTTCCGACCAGTACTAAAATCTCCGGATTGTTTACCAACAAACCTTTTTATACAGTAAATATATCTCATCTCCCTCTCTCTCTTTTCTTTGAATTATAGGCAGTGGAGTGGCTGGAATTGTTCTTCCAGAAAAAGAAGAAAAGGTGCTTGCAATTAAAAAGGGTGACGCCATTGCACTTCCTTTTGGTGTTGTCACCTGGTGGTACAACGAACAGGACACTGAACTTGTCATCCTGTTCCTTGGTGATACCAAAACAGCCCACAAAGCTGGTTCATTTACCGACTTCTTTTTAACAGGGTCTAATGGCATCTTCTCTGGATTCTCGACCGAGTTTGTTAGTAGGGCATGGGACTTGGAAGAGAGTGTTGTAAAAACCCTTGTTGGACAGCAGTCGGGTAAAGGTATTGTGAAGGTTGACACGGACTTCAAAATGCCTGAGCCCAAGGCAGAGCACCGCAATGGAATGACACTAAATTGTGAGGAAGCTCCATTGGATGTGGACATTAAGAATGGGGGAAAGGTTGTTGTTTTGAACACAAAGAATTTGCCGTTGGTTGGTGAGGTTGGACTTGGGGCTGATCTTGTGAGGTTGAACGGAAGTGCTATGTGTTCTCCGGGCTTTTCTTGTGATTCTGCTTTGCAGGTCACTTACATTGTTAGGGGCAGTGGCCGTGCTCAGGTTGTTGGTGTTGATGGTAAACGTGTATTGGAAACAACGGTTAAAGCTGGGAATCTTTTCATTGTTCCAAGGTTCTTTGTGGTTTCAAAGATTGCTGATCCTGATGGTTTGGAGTGGTTCTCTATCATCACAACTCCCAAGTGTGTATTACTTCTTTTTAATGTTTGCTACTTCAATTTGTATTTATTTCTTTTGGTTCCATCTATGTTATATATGTTTCCTCTGAATGTTTCTGACTACAAATATGTTGTCCTTGGCAGTCCTGTTTTCACTCATTTAGCTGGGAGGACTTCAGTCTGGAAGGCATTGTCCCCCCAAGTGCTCCAGGCATCTTTCAATGTTTCTCCTGATGTAGAGCAGAAATTCAGCTCGAAGAGGAAGGCTGAAGAAATCTTTTTCCCACCACCAAATTGATTCAGGAATATGGTTCTTTTTGTTCAAGTTTTTAGTTTAATAAGCAGCATTAAGAGTGCGAAAACGCTTAGCAATTTTACTTATACATGCCTAAAGTTCTATCAGGATTTTTGCAAATGTCACAGCTTCTGCTTGATAATGGTTTATTGTGCCATATTCGTGATGTTTCTTTAATGGTTTTCTTTGGCAATTTGCTTCTTTATTTTGATTGGATTGAGTATGACTCTAACAGGACTCGCTTCCAACACACTTCATTAGTAGATGATGCATTCAGTTTTGGCTGATTTATGATTTATCCTAATACCCCTGTCACCTGCCACAATCTCCTCATGCACCTCGGGATCGATGCCATCCTCCACGGCGGGAGCCCCCCACCTGTGTGCCGCTACCGACATCTGCCACAAATAGCCCAGGCTGAATCCTCACTCGCAAAGGACAGTCGGCTTGTCAGTGTCCCAAGCCAACGCACGCAAAGTAACGCGTACCACCCTCCCCTCAGCCTCTAGTCAACGATGGGACTGGAGGTGTCAGCTCAGCTGCATGCAAGGGCGGACACAAGGGAGGTCCTGGGGGTCACATGAACCCCCAACTTTTGGCCTTCGGTGATTTTTTTTTTTTTTTAAGTTCTATTTTGTATGGATTAAAATCTAAATTTTAATTTAAATCAAATTTAACAATTAATTTAATTTTAATAACATATTTTATAAGATCCACAATCTTTCAACTTTTATCAAAATTTACTAAAAATCTGATTTTAATCCCCACCAAACATGAGCAAAATCACAATAAATTTGAATTTTTTTCTATCTTCTCTTATTCTCTCG